TAATTTTTTCCAAGTGAATTTTTTTCCACAAATGTTCCATTACAGCAGGTAATCTGTCCATGCCCCTTTTTCCTGGAACCCCTGCTCCTCTCCTCCTAGGAGACCCAGTGGGGTGTACAATTTGACCTTCTCAGTCTCTCTCCTGGGTTGGAGTGCCTGTCTCCCATGCTAAATTTTTTGTTGTTACTGTTTACTATATAAGATACCTAGTCCAATATCTTTCTAAAATAAGATTATAGAAAATCAATGTCTCCAGTCTCCCCTCATGTTTGCTTGATGGTTTGGTGGGGTCTGACATGTCACTGGTCATTTTCCCTCAGCATTTTGAAGCCATTATTTGTATTATTTGAAGCCACTGATTTGTTGCATATGGTATTGCCACAAAGTGGGTCCCTTTCTGACAACCAGTCCTCTTCATGTATTCTGTTTTTCTGTCCAGGTGCTGTATGGGTCATCTTTCTTTTAATCCTGGGTCTGGTCCCCACATTCACTTGCTGGGCACTTAGGGAGCCATTTCAGTCTAAGTGAATTATATACTCCAATTCTCATTATTTCCTCATCTCCTCCCCTCTGCCTCCATACTTCCCTTTTTCTGGAAACCTTGTCATTTGGCACTTAGACCACCTGAATGGACAGATCCTACTGGAGAGTGATAGGCAGAAAGCCCCTGTTTAAGAGGGACCCCAGATGTCAGTGCAGGAAGAACTTTGCTCTGGGGCAGGGTCTCGATTAGCCTGGTGGCAGCTGTCTGGACACGAGAAGGTAGGTGCTGGAGATACCAGTGAGGGTGCACACTGTTGTTTGGCCCCTGACAAACACTCATATGCCTGAGTCATGAGCCTCTTGGCACCTTCACAGAATGTACATCAGGTCACATCTTGGGCAGGAAGCTGCCTGATCTGGGGTGTGGTTGGTCATCTGTTGGTGGTGGTGGTGGGGGGGGTCTTCTGCCGCACACTGCACTCTGTCTCTCTTCATTTCTGGACAGGGCCCCCATTCCCTCTTTCACCCAACAATAAACCAGAACATAAACAGCCAGTGTGTCCCAGCAGAGAGCAGAGTGAGGGAGATGGGAGCAGGACTCCTGGGCAGAGGACGGCCACGGTACAGGCCTGTAGCCAGAGTGCCTGCTGTGTCATGGCAGCAGCGAGAGTGAGGACCAGGGTGGACAAGGTGGAGGTGGGTGAGGAGGCTCGCTGAGGCTCGCTGAGGAGGCCAGCAGACTCTGGGTATGCGCCCCTGCAGGGGCTCCCACACTGTCCAGATAAGAGCTGGGGAGTGGCCGGGGCTGCTGGCCCCTTGAGCAGATGCAGAATCTGCCTGAGCTGTTTTTCTCCACCACAGGCCATGTCTGGGGGGATAGAATGGAGGAAGGGGACACACTGCTCAGGGCATGGCAATGTCATGATGTCATAATCGTGTGGCACAGAGAAAATGTCACATACTCCATCCTGATGCCCTTCTGAGTTATCCTAGCACAGGTGAGCCTCTGTTCCTGCCCACCTGGGCCAGCACCCAGGGGTGCAGCAAGGAGAGAAGCAACTCCGCTTCACACAGGCATGTGGTGCCCAGGGTGCCATGGGGTCAGCGTGAGCCTGAGGCTCAGGGGAAGTCAGCTTCTCCAGCTTCCCCAGACAGCGCAAACAGGAAGCCCTAAAGACTGGAAGACTCATGTGCATCTTCTGGAACCTCCAGATACACCAGCACCTACTGTACCCTTGGAGACCCCTCAGTGACCCCACCCATGGGGCCCTAAGCCCTCCACCACCCCGGCATCTCTGCTGGAATCAGCCCAGCTATCTCACCAGCCACAGGGCAGCTTGTACCACAGGCTTTGAAGAAGCAGCCTGAACTCGTCCTGCCTCATGACTTACTGTGTGACCCTGGGCAGGTCACACACCCTCTTGGGCTAGGAGCAGAGGAATTTGAAAAGCAGGTAGGCCTGCCTCCGTGGCCAGGATTCCCATCAGTTGTGGCTGTCCAGATGGCAGCTGTAGGTCACTGCATCACCTTAGCTGTCTGGCCAAAGTCAGTACAACAGGAGAGACTCACAGGCAAGGGCTTCAGAGACGACCACACCTGGTTTCCCCAGGACCTGGAGGCACCAGCAGTGAGAGGACTGATGGCCCTGTTCCCATCACAGGGACCAGTGAGGGTGTAGAAGAAGCTAAGGCTCCACCAAGCCTGTCTCCATGGTAGGATGGAGGCCAGAGCTGACACAGGACCTCAGCCTGAAGACTGGGGGGCACACACTGGGAGGGGTGCCTGTGCTCTGTGCGCACAATGTGTTCTTGCCCTCGGAGGTCACCTTGGGGCCATGTTGAACTCCATCTGGCCTTGGGTGGCACCAGGTAGACAAGCCTCTCTGCAATGGACACCTCAAACTCTTGTCTGTGTTCAGGAGGAACTACCAGGCTAGCCCATTTCCATTTGAGTGGTCAGGGCCCCACAGGAGTGGAGGAAGTCCAGGTAACCCTCAGCCTCCACGTGGGGCCTAAGGGCACATGCAGGACCCAACAGGGCAGGCCACGGACACCTGCATTTGGGGCTGCCTCTGTTCATAGGCATGTTTCCGGGTGCGTCCCTGTGTGTCTAGGCCTCTTCAGAGGCACTTGACATGGTCAGGATTTATCAGTGTCTTCTACTGCATTTCTAGGAAGTTGACCCTTTAATGAACTGACCTTTCTTGTCCTGGCCACATTTGGGGGCTTCCTCACTGAGCCAGGGTCTGCAGAGGAGAGCCATGCCGGGGGAGGCCACCCACCTCCCCACCCCCGTGCTGAAGCCCCTGGGGACCTAAACTCTCAGGCTTGGTGTCCTCCACAAGGGGCTGAGGTGCTGTGTGAGGTGACCTCCCTGAGGCGCCTTCTGTCGTGGCTCCTCCGACTGTTGCAGTCTTGACCCTGGGGGAGTCATGTTGGCCCTGCTTAGCACACACACAGGAGCTGGCTTCCTTCCTGCCCACTCCTTCCCCTGAGGGAGGCTCTGGTCAAGGGAGCTGAGAGGTCAGTGTCAAGTTACCGCTGTGACAGAAGCCTGAAGGGGTGTCGTGTCTGCAGCACGAGGATCCCCTGGGAGGTGGCCCTGCCTGAGTTCTGAAGGGTGAGCCAGAGTCAGCTGATGAAGCAGAGAGGGAAGAGAACACAGCTTGTGCCAGGGCCCTGGAGTCTCTCCCCAGGAGCCAGCAAGAGGGTCAAAAGGAGGTCCGCCAGTCACTGAGGGCCTGGGAGGGTGCAGGTGGCCCGTTGCGCATCTTCCAAGGGCAGCAGGAGGCACTGAGTGCGTTCCACAGGAGCTGGGGTCAGGTGTGGGACACCGGGCTCCCCATACTGCAGGAGCTGGAACGTGAGCTGCCTGCAGAGGCCCGAAGCGAGCGAACAGTCAGGTCCGTGAAGGGACTGGGGCACAGTATGTGGGGAAGGCACTTTAGAGTGAACCAGGGCCTGAGGCAGAGACCACAGAGTGGAACCCAGGCATCAGGGAGGAATTGGCAGTCAGGATCTCTACTCCCTGCTGAGCAAGTGGCCCCGACCCCACTGCCCAGGTGCTCTCCACTCCCTTGCCCCCTTGCCCCACTGCCGGGGTGACACAGCCCCAGCCCCTGGAAGCCACGGGGAATGTCAGGTGGCCACCTGCTGCCCTGTCTCCTCAGCAGTCTGCATGGAAGGACCAGTCTTGCCCGCTGCCACCCCTCACCCCCGCCCCAAGCCTTTGACTGGTTTCCCCTCTGCCCAGGCTCTGCTTGGGGGATCCCAAGGCCTCTAAGGAAGGTGCTCCAGCGCTGCCTCCCTGCAGTTTCCTAAATGTTCCTCTCAGCCTGGGGTGGCCTGTAGTGGTACCCTACCACCTTTTGCCAGTTGCCATGCCTGTCCCCCAGGGTCCCCGGGGAGATGTGCAATCAGATCAGCACATTGCCAGCAGCCCTCAAGGAGCTTTGCATCCCTGGGGCTCTCCCAGGGGCGTGAAGGGTAGTAGATTAGTTGGGTGCTCTTGTTGGGCCTCAGTGAGGAGGGGGTGCTGTGGATGTACTTTCACACTGCTGACCAGGGGTGGAGGGGGGCAGTTTCTTCCTGGAGCTTCCCCAGCCCTGGAGGAGAGGCTTCCAAAAATAACCTCTCTGGCGTTGACCCACACCCACCAGGCCTTTCACAGGAACATCTGGCAGGCGCCCCACTGCCCGTTGTGCCTGGTGCCATCAGGCCAGTCATCCTGCTGGGTAGGGACATGAGTCATCTGGGTGCCTGTCATATAGAGAGTCATTTCTGCCATGGTACGGATGCCGCTTGCATACAGCAGGGAGAGTGGCATCTGGAGGGATCCCTGACTTCCTGGAGTGGAAGCAGTTCCTGGAAGACAAGATAGTAATTGATGGGTCACCCGGTGGGGGAGGGGGGGTGGTCCCGGATTGGGTGGTCTACTGGCACCCCTCCCCCGCTGGAGCAGGAGGTGGCATGGGCCTCCTGGAGGCCCCAACCAGGCCTGCACGTGCAGCCTGGGACTGTGAGTGACTTCTGAGTGGCCCCTTGAGCAGCACCTAGCCGGCCACTGTGAGAGCTCTTTAAACCACTGGTTCCAGATGGCATTGGCTCTGGGGCCCCGTACTCTGCAACCCCACAGGGCAAAGACAGGGTGTCCTTCCTGAGGAGTGAGCAGACAAGAGGGCACCCTTGGGGTTCAGGAGAAGACCCTGGGCCAGGGTTCAGGAGGCACTGAGGCCTGAGGGACAACACCATGACCGTCATGTCTGGCCAGCACAAGCGTGGCCATGTGCCCTTTGGAGGTTCAGTCACATCTCAGATCCTGGGTTTCTCATTCAGAAGTGGCTGTTAGGAGGACATAATGGTTGGTATGAGAGGTGCCTAGGATCCCCCCAGGATACACCCAAAGCAGTCAGCTTTGGGACTCCAGCCTCCTCTGTCCTTCATCCCAATGGTCCCCAGGTACTCCACACAGTCCCCCTCTGTGTCCTTACCTTACCGCCTGTCCCCTTCTCATTCCAGGAAGTTCTACTACATCACCCTGCTGAGAGACCCCGTGTCCCGCTACCTGAGCGAGTGGCGGCACGTGCAGCGGGGGGCCACATGGAAGACGTCGCTGCACATGTGTGATGGGCGCACACCCACGCCTGAGGAGCTGCCACCCTGCTACGAGGGCACAGACTGGTCGGGCTGCACGCTGCAGGAGTTCATGGACTGCCCTTACAACCTGGCCAACAACCGCCAGGTGCGCATGCTGGCCGACTTGAGCCTGGTGGGCTGCTACAACCTGTCCTTCATCCCTGAGGGTAAGCGGGCCCAGCTGCTGCTGGAAAGCGCCAAGAAGAACCTGCGGGGCATGGCCTTCTTCGGCCTGACGGAGTTCCAGCGCAAGACGCAGTACCTGTTCGAGCGGACGTTCAACCTCAAGTTCATCCGGCCCTTCATGCAGTACAACAGCACGCGGGCGGGTGGCGTGGAGGTGGACGAGGACACCATCCGGCGCATCGAGGAGCTGAACGATCTGGACATGCAGCTCTACGACTACGCCAAGGACCTCTTCCAGCAGCGCTATCAGTACAAGCGGCAGCTGGAGCGCAGGGAGCAGCGCCTCAAGAGTCGGGAGGAGCGTCTGCTGCACCGCGCCAAGGAGGCGCTGCCGCGGGAGGACACCGAGGAGCCCGGCCGCGTGCCCACTGAGGACTACATGAGCCACATCATCGAGAAGTGGTAGTGGTGGCCAGCCATGGGGGGGTGGCCCCTTGGGGGCAGGGGGCGGGTTGGGGAGCCGAAACCAGAGAACCCATGCAGAACTCTGCTGGGAAGAGGGTCCCAGGTGCGCTCACCAGAAGGCAGATCCGTGCTGAGCAAGGATGACGAGTGGGACGTGACGCCGAAGGGGCTAGTTTTCACTGCTCCTCCCAGACCACCGTGTGAGGAGTCAACCAGTGCAACCCTCCAGAAGGGTCCTGTGCTTGAGGGGCGCCCCAGGCAAGGGCCGCCGGCAGGTGGCGTCCGTGTTCTCCCGTTCTCCACTCACTCACAGTGGCCGAAGTTCTGAAGACAAGAAAAAGCAGAGTGGAGACAACACTCACCCTGCCAGGAGCATGTCCTACACCCACTGTGCACCCCTGCTTGCTCTCTCCCCACTGCAGGCCAACAGTGGCCTGACACCAGCTCCAGATACCCTCCCAGGTTTGGGCCACCCAGGCAGTCCCTTGGTCCCTGGGGCCCCTGGACCAGAGTGAAGCCCGTCCCTGGGCACACAGGCAGCCCCTTGAGGTGTCCTCAGGAGTGGAGCTCCTAGCTCACCTATCTTCAATGGTCAGAGCCCACCTCGCCTAAAACCGAGAAGACTGTAGTCCTTCCCTCCTTGGGAAGCCCACTCTCTCTCTGGCCCAAGGTCAAAACACACAGTCTAGCTTTATGCTTTGGGTCAGGAGATCAAAGCACACCTCTGGAGCCCCTCCCCCCCATTTCCCACAGTCCTCAGGCTGAGGAGGGCTGCAGGGAGATGGGCCCACATGCACTGCCCCCCATTCTGAGGGGAGAGTGCATCCCAGGAGTGGGAAGTCTGTGTCCAAGGATGCTGCCACCTGTGTCCAAGCACCCCCCCTCCTTGCCTTTGGGGATGGCCACCTAGCCAGACCAGCCAGACAGGAGGAGAATTTCCCCTGCCCCATATACCTTTCCGACCCTCTGAGATATGGTAGACTGTCCCTGGGCCCCGGGATCATACCCACTGTTCCCACAACCCCATGTGCAAAAGTACAATCAAGCCTCCACTGGCTAGAACACAGCAGACTGTACCTGCTGCTCATGAACCATATCTTGGGGCTGTGGTGGTTCTCTATGGCCAGGAGAGGGGCCTCAGACTTTCAGATTCTCAACTAGAGTTGGAAGAAATGCTCTTGGTGGCTTCCTAGTACCCAGATACACAGCCCTTCCCACCCCAGGCTCTCCCTGCATTGCCCTTTGCCCACCCCCTGCCCACCAGCAGGCCCTATTCCTGGCAGCCCTAGAGTTTGGAGAAGCCATGTTCCATATCCGTTGTAGACCCTTCCTCCGTGCCCTACCCCTCTTGTGCTCCAGGAAGTCAGGCCACTGTCTCCTGTGGGGGTGTTTTTCCCACATGAGGCCCAAAACCTGGATTCTGGGGAGCAGAGTGTGAGTCCCACACCCAAGGTGGTTGAGTGCCCTGTCTCTCCAGGAGAGGACCCACACGTGCCTGCAGGCACAAGGGTGGTGAGGGCCAGGGCTGGCTTGTTGGAGGGCGGCAGCCTCACGGGCAGATTCTACCAGGGACCTTCCTCCCTGCCCCAGCTTGTCTTCAGCCATCACAGCTGTCCCACCAGAGAGATGTGGAAGCAAGGAACCTTCTGTAGCACAAGAAATGCTAATGTGTTGTCAAATGAGGTAGCCACCAGGAGGAAGCAGCCTCTGATCTTTGCCTGCCTGCGGTGGGATGGTGACCATACCTCCTGCTTCCTACAATGACCACTTCATCTTGTAGTCCCAGGGCAGTGGTCCGCAGCCTGGAATAGGCACCATGCTCACCCAGCCTGGGCCCACTGCCAGAGTGGGTGCATCATGCTGAGCAGGCGATCATCCTGGAGATACAGTGGTTCTCTTGGGGTAGTGAAGGTCAGCATGGGGGATCCATTCCGACACTCATCCTTTGGGATGGGCATGCTCCAGGGAGGAAGGTGGGACACGTTCATGAGAACTCGGGGGTCTTGCACAAGCACATCAGGTGCTGGGGGCTTGCTGTGGCCTTGCTGTGGTCTCCGTCAGGAGGTGGTCATTTTCAGGGCATACATGGAAAGCTCGGCCGTGTTCTGCCTCAGTCCCTGGTTACCTGGCCCTCCTCGAGGTGGGTTTCCTGTGTGTGTAGGCTTGGGTGTAGGATCTGTTCTGTACATATTGGAATGTTTTAACTTATGATCCGTTGTCCCAATTCACACGGAAACATGGGCCTCTCCTTGGTTTCTTTGCTGCATCTGGAAACCGGTCCCATCCGGGGCCAGCACTCAGGCCGAGGTGCCCAGAGACAGCAGCAGCTGCCAGTGCCCCTAGGCCCCTCGGGCCTCCAGTCCAGCACCTCCGCTCAGGCCACCTGCGTGGAGGTGAAGGTTCCTCGTGCCTGCAGCATCTCATCCGATGCTGTCACCTGCTGGGGCTCCACAGAAGGGGCGCCCCACCCAGGGGCTCTGCCTAGGGCCGCGAGGACAGAGGCAACACGCAGTGAGCAAACAGCCCACTCCCCACACAGACCTGCAACATACCCTCCCGGAGGAGGAACTAGGGACGGCAGAACTGTCCAAGCAATGAGTCTGTGACCTTGTTGGGAACTGGAAGTGTTTAACTTGAACCCAGGAGCGTTTAAAGCTTTATTTATTTATAGCTTCTTATTAAAAAAAAAAAATGTTGAGAAGAAATCTTTTGGTTATTCATACAAGACAAGTTGGTGATGGAAAAGCAAGTCATAATCATCTAATTGTTTTTGTCTAGGTCAAGAATGAATGTTAGCAGATGAAATAAACCCTTGACAAGGAGTGTGGGTGTGCTGTGGTCTGTGGTGATGGCCATCCGCCCAGCGCCATGTGGCCAGACCTTCAGGGTTTGATTTTCAGAGGGAGCATCTGAGCAGAGGGATGGAGGCAGTGGCGGGGGCCTCCCTCAGGAGCAGGCAGCCCCCGAAGGAGGCATTCACGCACTTTCCCACTTACACAACGCTTTGTGAAAGGCAGCTGTCCTCACCCCAAAGCGCAATTTGGTAGTAGTCCAGGCCACACCTGAAAAGAGGACCCCAGCTCAAAGTCAGGCTGAGGAACCAGACACCATGTGCTTCTCGGTGACCTCTTTGTCAACTTTTAATTCGGAAAGATCACAAACGACAAAGCAAAAGAACACCAACCCTGAGCCTAGATTTGCCTCAATTAACATTCTGTCCTTTTTCACTGTCCTGCACTCACACTTGCTCTGTGTACACATGTGCACACATGAGTCCACACAGACACACGTGTCCACACTCTCACATATACTCAGACGCACAGTTTTCTGAAATATTTGAAAATAAGTTGCAATCCTCAGAATACTTCTAACGACAGCAGACTATAGCTCCTAAGAAATGACATTCTGCTATAAAATTCAACCCATTATCATCTCCCCAAATTTAACATAAATTCACTAAAATCAGCTAATGTAATTTCTACAGTTCCCAATTGTCCCCACAATATCTTCAGGCCGGACTGCTGAGCCAAGGGCTGTGCCGTCCCGCTGTTCCCATCTTCTTTCCCCCAGCCCAGTCCCACCCCGCACCACCCACTTCTTCCTTTCTTAGCGCTGACATTTTAACATAGACCAGTTGTCTCTTAATAAATATCTGCATAAGTCGGGTTGTTTTCTCATGATCAGATACTGTCAAACATTGGGGAACAAATGCCACATGGGGGAGATTGTTCTGACCACTAACTGATGGATTTTAGTTCTCTGATGAGACAGGGAGGGAGAGCCCGTGCTTAACTTCTGGGACTTGATGCGACTACAGGGCTGATAAAAGCAGCTCGCTGCCTTTTCTTCAGGGAACTGGATCTGTTCTGCGCAGAGCAAGGAGCTAGCTGTCACTGGATGGTGCTAGATCCAGGGGCCAGAGTGCACCAACTTTGCATTTCCACGAGGGTCTTGGAAGACCCAGCAGGCTGAGTCAGTTCCCAGTGACTTCACCTACAAGACTCCAGGAAAGCCATGTTGGAGGTTGTCGTTCAAGGCCTTCCCCCCGCCTCCCAGATTCTGTATCTGGACACTCTTCCTCCATCCTGTCCAAGTAGAGGGAGGGACAAGGGGGAAGGGCAGGGTAGCTGAGGCTTCCTTGGCCCCAGAGAGGAGCCCCTGAGCAGCTGAGGGGTGGAACGGAAACCCAGGAGAAAGGCATCACCGCTGATGCCCACAGCAGTCCCAGGACACAAAGGTGGCTGCTGCCTCGTTGCTAGAAGTGTCCCATGTAGGGGAGAGGGTGAGGGACAGACACAGCTGAGCCTTAAAACCCCAACCTTCAGATCCAAACAGAACATTCTTGACCATCTGAATCTGTGAGGGAGCATCTCTTTAGTAACAGAGTCCTACAAGGGAGGCCTTCCATGTGGAACCCCAGTGTGGAAAGACTTGTGCTGCATGCCATACCCCCATGCCCCCCACACCCTGTGGCCCCCACACCCTTGCCCCCAGCTTTGGCCTTTTCTGAACACTTCATCTGGAGCCTGCGGCTTGATTTGCCCATCAGGGAACACAGGATGGAAGTGACCTCCATTTCCTGGCGGTGCCACTGTACTCCAGGACCAGGGTCCTGATGAGAGACAAAGACAGAGTCAGTCCTGAAAATACCTTCCTGTGAAGACAAGTTTTCATCTTCCTACTTCTGTTTACGTTAGAGGCCCCTTGGGGTGCCTGGGTGGCTCAGTCGGTTAAGCATCCGACTTCTGATTTTGGCTCAGGTCATGATCTCAGGGTCGTGGGATCAAGGCCCTAGTGGGGCTCGCTTGGAGCCTGCTTAAGATCCTTTCTGTCCTTTCCCTCTGCCCCTCTCCCTTCAACCCCCTAGCACTGCTTCCTCTCTCACTCTCTGAAAAAAAGAAAGAAAGAATACATAAAAATAAAGTTGGGAGACCCCTTTTAAGCCTTCCTGACCCTGAAGCTGGGGAGGCTCCTAGGTCCTGCCCAGCCCCTTAACCCCTCCCTGTACACAGCAGTAGCCTCCCCTGTGTGACGCAG